GAGAGAGAGAGAGGGAGGCATGCTCTTCGCCGATTAAGACGATAAAAACGGTAGCGGCGGTAGATCTTACGAGCCGAGAAAGATGGAAGTTCTTATACCGGCTCCTGGACTGCTTCGAGTCAGGCGAGCTCGCGAGCAAGACGCGTTACCAAGAGGTAAGTGTAAGCATATGTATGATATACAAAGCCACGCATACGAAGAAGAAAAGGTAAGGGTGGCACGCGCGGCCCGCTTCTATCGCTTCCGGGCATCAGCGTGCTCGCGAGCCGCGGCTAATTGCTCTTTAATGCAAGCGAGGCGAACGGGCGCGTTGCTTTTCTCGAGCGTACGCCGAAGAAAAGCCAACCTCGACAATGTTGTTAGGCGACAAAAAAAAAACGCCGCGTTAGCGAGCGTGATAATTTCGCGTTGAGTGAATCGCAAAGTGATCCCTTCTAGTAAAACTGGTCGCCGGACTGGCTTCCGGGAAAATTTGAGAAAATTTTGTTAAAAACGAAGAGACTACGGCAAATCGACCTAATCGATCTTGTTTCGTATCTCTTTTCACCTCTTGATATTAGAAACTGAAACGTCGAAATTATTTCTTCATATGGCGAAACGATATAATCGTGGCACTGCGGGTGAAAGTAAATGTAGTTTCTTGCAGTTTCCTTGTCACAATTGTGTTTTCGTGAAACGCGGTTTCTTCCGAGTCACGTACGTTTTTAAAGTGACATTTCGTTACACGTAGAAGATGATGTGCGATTTCTTCGCACACCAGCGTGTGTCTGACGCATACGGTGCGTTACGCAGTTTCTTTTTCAGATCGTCAGAAGCCGCGAAGAAATCGTTATGCAGCTTGCACTCGGAAGAAAGACGGGGAGCGCTAATCATCCGGCGGCTTGCCTATTCTCTTTTTTTCTTTTCTTCTTTTGGGGTCGGCCCTGTTTATTCGCGAGAGGAAAGGGCGCGTTGCCGGCAAAAATAAAGGGCAGAAAGCCCCGGATTCGTCGAGGCATGACCAGCGCGTCCACCAGAAGCTCATACATATGTACGCGGCTCGAACCGGGCAGTGGCGAGCAACCCTCCTCTTCCTCCTCCTCCTCCTCCTCCTCCTCCTCCTCCTCTTCCTCCTCCTCCTCCTCTTCCTTCCCCTTCTCAGGGATTCACTCCCGTAGGGAGGCCGCTCCGGAAAAATGAATATGCAGCCCGCGTAGAGGAGGGTATTATTTTATAAAATTTACTATCTCGTGCCCGCGCATTATCTACCCTCCTGCCAACCCCACCGGCAGATTCGCCGCGAGTTTTCCGCGCTAACATGGAAACCGGACCACGAGATGATTTCTTAAAGCGAGTGAAGCGGTTTCTATCCGATTCTATATATATATATATATATATATATATATATATATATATATATATATATATATATAATAATAATAATTA